TGCCACCCGCATGACCAACCAGGGCCGGGGACAAACTGCAACCGAGGTACATGCCCTTAGCGGGAACCGAACCCGGGTCTCTCCGGACCGCAGGCGGACGCTCTAACCGCTGAGCCAAACCGGCCAGGGCAAATGTTTCTTTCTTATGAGTGTTTCTATCTCTGTCTCCCTCTCCCTTTCTCTTTCTCTAAAAATCAATAAAAACGAAGGGAGAGGTAGAAAGAGATGGAAACATTGGTGAGAGAGAACATTGATTGGCTGCCTCCTGCATGCCCCGCACTGGGGATTGGGCCCAAAACCTGGGCATGTGCCCTGACTGGGAATCGAACTGGCAGCCTCTTGGTGCATGGGTCGATGCTCAACCACCGAGCCACACCGGCTGGGCGCAACAGTGACTTTAGAACATAAGGGATACCTATGATTTTTTTGCCTGATTTGGAAAGGGGATATAACTAATAAACTGTTTAAATGCACTAGTCAAAAGAAAGCAAGATAAACAATCTTGAAAGAGCAGAATGTCAGAGTCAGTCTAATAATTATGAGAAATAGGATGTCAGAGTAAGCTCAATGTAACTACTGAGACAAGCAGAATGTCTGCTGTTAATTAAAAGTAGGGAATGTAGCCCTGGCCTGTTTGGCTCAGCAGTTAGAGCATTGGCCCACAGACCAGAGGGAGAGTCCTGGGTTCAGTTCCCACTAAGGGCATGAACCTAGGTTGCAGTTTGTCCCTGGCCCTGTTTGGGGTCATGTGGGTGGCAACCACTTGATGTGTCTCTCTCACGTGGATGTTTCTTTCTCTCCCTCCTTCCCTCTCTCTCTCCTGCTCTATCTGAAGATAAATGCAAAAATGTCCTCGGGAGAAGATGAAAATTAAATTAAATTAAATTAAAATAGGGAATGTATAAGAACGGTGGCTTTAATTACATACAAACCGAGCTGAAAATGCACTACACCTTTGTTTCCACTTGCTAGCTGCCTACTCGTCTGTCTTTGTAGCACAGAGTCAGCCATAGACCATCCATAAACAAATGACCATGGCTGTGTTCCAATAAAACTTTATGGATCCTGAAATTTAGATTTCAGATCATTTTCACACATCATAAAATAATATTATTCTTTTGATGTTTTCAGCCATTTGAAAATGTGAAAACTATTCCCAACTTGCCAGTGGAATGGTTGAGTTGACACCTGGTCTATGATCTACCAAGAGCTCCTGGTGCTTTGTAAGAAAAGGCAAAGATCAAAAAATGTAGCCCTGGCCGGTTTGGCTCAGCGGTTGGAGCGTCGACCTGCGGTACAGAGAGACCCGGGTTCGGTTCCCGCTAAGGGCATGTACCTCGGTTACAGTTTGTCCCCGGCCCTGATTGGTCGTGTGGGTGGCAGCCACTCGATGTGTCACATTGATGTTTCTCTCTCTCTCTCTTCCTCTCTCTCCCTTCCACTCTGTCTGAACAAAAAATGGAAAAATGTCCTCGGTTGAGGATTAAAAAAAAAAAAAAGTAAACATGTGCCCTGGCTCAGCTGGTTGGAGTATCATGCCTGGGAAGGTTGTGGGTTCAATTCTGGTCAGGATACATATCTAGGTTGTGGGTTTGATCCCAGTCTTGGGAGGGGTTTGTATGGGAGGCACCTGATCGATATATCTCTCGCACATCAATGTTGTTTCTCTCTCCCTCCTTTACTCCATCTCTAAAATTAATTAAAAAAAAAAAAAAAGATGTAAACATGCAGGTCGCAGAAGAGGAAATCCAAATGGCCATCAAGCATCTGTAACAGGATGTGGAGAGAGATTTTCCCTGCTATCTGAATAAAATACACAGCAAATCACCCTACATTCCAGAGAGAAGATCTTGACATGCTCTTGACAGCTTTCTACAAGAGACCAGAACCAATCTATCAACCCACCACCCACCTCCAGACAAGAACAGGCAACAAATAATTCAGAAAAGGATTGAAAAGAGGGAGGAGGGTTGGTGTCATACCTAGATTATTTGACACTCAGAGCAGATAATTCTTTAACTCCCCCTCCTACATAAGACATTATTTTTAGTAATTATTATATTGAAGGTTGTTACATATTTCTTTTTTTTTTTTTTATCCTCACCCGAGGATATTTTTCCATTTTTTGTACAGATAGAATGGGAGGGAGAGAGAGGAAGGGAGAGAGAGTGAGAAACATCGACGTGAAGGGACACATCGAGTGGCTGCCACCCGCACGACCAACCAGGGCCGGGGACAAACTGCAACCGAAGTACGTGCCCTTAGCGGGAACCAAACCCGGGTCTCTCCGGACCGCAGGCCGACGCTCTAACCGCTGAGCCAAACTGGCCAGGGCAGGTTGTTACATATTTCAAAACAGATCCAGCCATTGTTTCAATAGCTTCATCTGTTGGTTTTTAGTTTTCTGTGTTGGGCTCTATTGAGTCAATATCTTTTCATATTAAGATAGCGCCCACTCCACACTAATCTAGGCATTGCTGTAAAGGGATTTGGCAGATGTAATTATGGTCCCAAATCATCTGACCTTGAGAAAGGGACATTATTTGGGTGGACCTGACCTAAAGCATGGGCTCTTTAAAGACAGTTTCTCTGGCTGTGAAAGCAACCCCTAGAAAGGAAGCAGCTTGGCTAATAACTGTGCTCTGACTTCTGACCTACAGAACTGGGTGTTGTGTTAAGCCACTAAGTTTGTGGCAATAGAAAGCTAATACACCCTTTACTGCCTGTACCCCGGTGGACTGCTCTCACCCTCTGCCCTTGGTCCCCACCAGGAAGAGGTTTTAGGGGGAGTAAAGGGTTTTCCCTCTCCACAAGCCTGCCCAGACCTACTCTAGTTAATATGCAGACTACAAGCAGCTCCACACTGCCCTCCTGAGGTGCTCTCACTCCTGCCTGACCCTTGTCTTCCATGTCCTGTCCTGAGGCGTCCCCTGGGAGTCTTTGGCCTCTTTGGCACAGTCTCAAGAATCACTGCTTTGGTAAAACCCCTACTTTCCTCAACTAGCCCCTGCCTTTGAATGTTCCGTTTTCTTTTTTTTTTTAATACTGTAAATAAGGTCATGACAGACATCTTTGTATATAAAACTTTGTCTGATTTACATAGGATAAGAAATGCTGCCCTGGCCAGTGTTGCTCAGTGGTTAGAGTGTCAGCTGGAGCATCAAAGGGTCTCCTGTTCGATTCCCAGTCAAAGGCACATACCTGGGTGGCAGGTTTGATCCCACTGTGTTCCAGAGGCGACCAATCCTGTGTCTCTCTCACATTGATGTTTTTTTACTATCTCTCTCTCCCCTCTCCCTCTCTACCTTCCATTCTCTCTAAAAACCAATGGAAAAAAATATCCTCAGGTGAGGATTAAAAAATAAAACAAATAAAGAAATGATTAGTTAAGCAATGAACATTTTTAAAGCTCCTGATATATGTTGCCAAACTGTTTTCTAGAAAGACTCTACCAATCTACCATCCCATTGGCAGAGTGTGATGCCTAACATCCCATAGGTAGAGTGTTATTTGATCTAAGTTGAGCCTATGGAGATTTTTGGCTCAAAGAATTAGGAGAGGCCCTGGCCAGGTAGCTTAGTTGGTTAGTGTCCTCCCAATACCCCAAGGTTTCAGGTTTGATCCCCAATCAGAGCACACACAAGGAGCAACCAATGAATACATAAATAAGTGGAACAATAAATGGATATTTCTTTTTCTCAAATCAATAAATAAAAAATCTTAAAAGTAGTTATAAAAAAAGAACTAGGAGATATTTCTGGGGGAGGACCTGAGGACATTTTTCCATTTGTGTGCAGATAGAGTGGGAGGGAGAGAGAAACATCGCCGTGAAAGGGACACATGGAGTGGCGCCCCCCTGCCCCCCTCCCCCCCGCACAACCCCAACCGGGGCGGAGACAAACTGCAACCGAGGTACGTGCTCTTATGGGAACCTGAACCCAGGACTCTCCGTCTGTGGGCCGGCGCTCTAACCGCTGAGCCAAACCGGCCAGGGCGGACCCTCTTTTCACTTTACCTCTAAACTCTCTTCTTAGTGAGCCATCTTCACTCCCAAGCTTTCAGGCGCCCACTGGGCACCTCTACCTGGAAATCCCAAAGGCATCCAAACCTAACTTCCAAAACTAAGTCACTTGTCCGCTTTCCGCTCCTTTTCTACCAAAATGCTCGATTCAGAAAATAGACCTATCACTGTGGCTGGGACCAAGGTGATAAGTATGATGATCACCAGGGAATCACATTCTCTAACGAAGCCGCCCTTATCAGATTAGTGAGGCGCAGAGATGACAGGACAGAGCAGGGAAGACGCGCCTTCCTCTCGTGGGTAGGTCACAGAATGCTTGGGACAGTTGAGGGAATGTACACAGCACCTGCGCACCAAAGCACAGGACTATTGGATGATGTTCGTGCGTCATGGGTCTTCGCCAAGAGGCTAGCACCCAGACGCGGTTTCGGTGCCAAGAGTCGGGGCCTACACGCCTGGGTACCCGGCTTCCGCGGCCTGGGAGAGACACTGCGCAGCCGCCGTAGGGCGCACCCGCCACCGTGTGCGGGCGCGCGCGGGCGGGTTGGAGTTTGTGCGCACGCGCTCTCGGACGCGCGCGGAGCCCCGGAACCAGGGGAAAGCAGAGGGGAAGGGGCGGGGTTGAGCCCGGTCTCGCGCATGCGTGTGCACAAACCATTTGGCGCGTTTTTCCCGGCTGCTCTGTGGTGTGCGGGTCAATGAGATAGATGTTCAGCCATAGGGAATAGGGAGTAGGCCGTTCTCCCCAGGAGAGCGACTTCTTGAGATTTCTGCTCCATTCCTTTGGGCGTTTGGGGGCTTCACCCACGTAGAAGAAAAAAGCGTTCTCCATGACTGACTGCTGGGGCCTTCTGACCGCCTGAGGTGTGGGGCTATTTGGCCACTTTCCATCTCAGTCCCCCAGAGGGCGAAAGGATCAGAGGGACCGCGTCCTTCTCATCGGTCCCCACGCCCGTGGGTTTCTTGGACCCGGGTCGGAACCGGGTGGACCTCCCCCTCTCCTGGGTCACCATGACCGTGTCCGCTCAGCAGCTGGCAAAGGAGTTGGAGATCTTCGGCCTAGACTGCGACGAGTCTCTGACTGAGAAATGTGAGTCCCTCGCCCCCTCCCCGGACCCCAGCCGAGGCCCACGCTCGGCGGCTCGGTGTTCCCAGCCGCCTAGAACCCAAAGGGGAGCGCGTCCAGGTTTCACCTCCCCTAGATCAGTCTCGGTGAGTGAGAGAGAAATTAAACTGAGTTTTGAGATTTGGGATAGGGGGACTTCGAAATGCTCACAGAGGACTGCTTGGACCCCAACTCAAAAATAAGAATATGAAGTGCGGTTTTAAATCAACGCAGTTTCAGAGAGGTGGAATTGGGACATGCCGGGTTCGCACCGGGCTCCGCTGGCATCTCCAGGTTGGAAATTGTTTAAGTCTCTACAACGAAACCAGAGGTGTGAGCTTTTGAAATGGAGCTTTTTATTCCTGGCTCCTCTCTTCCCACCCTACACCTTAAACTTCTGCTGATCCATCGCTTCTCATCAAAGCTGTTAGTAGTCTGTGCAAATATGAGTCCCTTGAGGTGAGTTCCTAAAATTGAATTTTAGCTTTGGAAGGGACTTTAGAGAATTTGTCAGATGATTACAGATGGAGAAACAGACAAGGAGAGTTAATAGGCTGAGCTATGAACCCATAGCTGGTCTATGAATCCAGTCTCCTCGCCCTAAGGCCAGAGCTCCATCATATTGGTCCATTGTATTGGCCAGGCCCTGGGGCCATGTAAGGACTTGGTTAAAGTAAAGTCTGGGGAGATGTAGAGTTCTCAGTTTTAGAAATGGGATGAATGTGCACCTGCCTTCACCATTCATCAACACTTTGAACTTATTTTCTTTTTTTAATCCTCACCTTAGGATATTTTTCCATTTATCCTCAGATAGAGTGGGAGGGAGGGAGAGAGAGAAACATCAACCGGTTGCCTCCCACACTACCCTGACCAGGCCTGGGGATGAACAGCAAGTGAGGTACTGTCCTTTACTGAAATCGAACCCGCAACTCTTTGGTCCAAGGGCCGACACTCTAACCCCTGAGCCAAATTGGCCAGGGCTGAACTTCTTTTTTTTTTTTTTTAATCCTCACTCAAGGACATTTTTTTATTTTTTTGTTCAGATAGAGTGGGAGGGAGAGAGAGGAAGAGAGAGAGAGAAATATCGACATGAAAGGGACACATCGAGTGGCTGCCACCCACATGACCCAACCAGGGCCGGGGACAAACTGTAATTGAGGTACGTACGTGCCCTTAGCGGGAACCGAACCCAGGTCTCTCTGGACCGAAGGCTGATGCTCTAACTGCTGAGCTAAACCAGCCAGGGCTGAACTTCTTTTTAAATATTAAAGTGTTGCCCAGCTGGTGTGGCTTGGGTGATTGAGCGTCAACCCATGCACCAAGAGGTCACCAGTTCAATTCCAGTCAGGGCATATGCCCAGGTTGTGGGCCAAACCCCCAGTGGGGGGGCATGCAGGAGGAAGCCAATCCATGTTCTCTCTCATTGATGTTTCTGTTTCTCTCCCTCTCCCTTCCTCTTTCTCTCTCTCTCTCTCTAATCAGTAAAGGGAAAAAAATATATAAATAAATATTAAAGTGTTAATTTCTCATGAGAAACCAGAATACTCGAAGTTCTTATTCCCAGTGCATTCTCTTCTAAAATGAGACTTAAATGAGAAACCCAGTGATAGACATTTATTATGTGAGCTTGAAGTCAAAACAAGAGAAATTAGGCCTGGCCGATGTGGCTCAGTTGGTTGACTGTTATCCCATGCACCAAAATGTTGCCGGTTTGATTCTGGGTCAGGGCACATGCCCAGTTTCAGGCTCCATCTGATCCCCTGTAGGGGACATGCAGGAGGTAGCCCATCGATGTTCCTCTTTCTTCCTCTCCTTCCCTATCAATGAAAAAGTATTATCCAATGAGGATTTAAAAAAACAAAACAAAACAAGAGAAATTAGTTGTATGAACCAAATCTGTGAAGGCTTCAGCCCAAGGTTCTGTGGCTTCTACCTCACGTAGGACTGACTACGTTGGCAGTGGTGTTGGAATACTGGACTTTGAATTCATAATCGCCAACCTCAGTGAGACTTGAATGTTGCCTGACAGTCATACCATATTTCCCTGGTCTGTTCATCCTGAGTCTTCCAAGCGACTGGTTTCCACCTTCTCCTTTAACGTCTTTCTGTCCCACTCTCAGCTGATGAATTTACTTTCTGTTTTGCTCAAAAAGATAGATGCTATTAGAGAACTTTTGTAAACTATAAGCCATTATGTCTTCCTGCCTACCTGTTTCTATGCTCTATACCTTGCCTTTCTTCCTATTACAATGAATAAATTCTCCACACTCCCAGGGAAAGCCTCACCTTCCTCTTGAGTCCTGAATCCCATTTGTTCTCACCTTCTTAAGGGGCCTGTAATTCTCCCCTCGCATATATTTTGTATTTTTCTCTCTATAAGATTATTTTCTTAATAGCATAGTTCTTACTACTGCCTTCAAAATACTCAGTTGACCCCACTTCCCACTTCAATTCTTCCTTTCCCAATTATAGCAAATGTCCTCAAAGGGGTTGTCTATACTTGCTTTCATTTTTTCTCCTTAAAAGTCCTCTTTTTCATCTCCATCAATACACTGGAACTGCTTCTCTCAAAGTTGTTCATGACTTTCACCTGGCCAGAGTCAGTGGTGACTTTTCAGTCCTCATCTTGAATTATCAGCAACATCTGCCTCCTTTAAAACATGATTTTCTCTCAGCCTCTCAGACACTACTGGTTGTTCTCCCACCTTGTTTGTCACCGTTTCCCAGGCTCTGCAGATTCATCCTGCTCCTGTCTTGAACTATAACATACTCTCACTTTCTTGGTGATCTCACTTGGGCTCATGACTTTACTTCCCTACATCCCTATATTTTTGTTGTTGTTGTTAATCCGTACTACTTGAGGATATTTTTTTCCATTGATTTTTTTGTTTTGTTTTGGTTTGGTTTGGTTTTTTTAGAGAGAGAGTAGAAGGGAGAGAGAGAGATTGATTGGTTACCTCCCACATGGGGGAATCAAACCTGCAGCATAGGTACGTGCCCCTGACGGGATCGAACCTAAAACCTTTTGGTGTGTGGGCTGACACTCCAATGAGCCAGACAGGTCAGGGCACATTCCTGTATTTCTGATGAGTTCCACATTTATATTTTAGCACAGACCTCTTGCGTGAACTGCAGGCTGGTCTGGCCAACTGCCTACGTGACATCTCCAATTGGATGTCAAATGGACCTCTACATTTCTAAAACTGAGCTCCTGGTGTCGCATACCTCTCTTCAAAGTAGTTCCTCCTGCTCTCTTCCCCACCTCAGTTAATAGTGACTGCAACCTTCCAGGTGCTCAAGCTAAAAACACAGCATCATCTTTCTTTTCTCAAGCCTCATGTCCAGTCAGCAAATCCCACTGACTTTACTTTTAGGATGTTTCCTATCCAGAGTCCCACCACTTCTGGCCACCTGCTGCCACCACCTTGATCCAAGCCCCCATCATCTCTCACCTGGATTTTACCATGATTCTCTAATCGGTTCCCCTGATTCTGCCCGGTCCCCTTCAGTCAATGGGAGTTAGATCATGTTACTGTTCTGTTCTTTTCAAACCCTCTAGCAATTTCCCATCTTGCTCAGAATACTACCCAGAGTAATTGTAATAGCAACAATCTGCACCCCCTTTCCCCTCCCATTTCTGTCTCCTCCCTCCTCCCTCATTGCATTCCAGCCACAGTGGCCTTGCTGATCTTGCTGGACCTCAGAATTTTTGCCTGAAAGCTCTTCTCTTAAACACTGTGAGACTCACTCCTTTGCTTCCTTCAAGCTTTTACTCAAAAGTCTTCCTCTCGCCCGGCCAGTGTGGCTCAGTGACTGAATATCAACCCATGCACCAAGAGGTCACCAGTTCAATTCCTGGTCAGGGCACATGCATAGGTGGGCCCGATCCCCAGTGAGGGTCATGCAGGAGGTGGCCAATCATTGTTCTCTCTCATCGATGTTTCTGTCTTTCTCCCTCTCCCTTCCTCTCTATCTAAAATCAATAAAGAAAAAAATATTTTAAAATTGCCATGCCCTTCCCCAACTCCCTGATCTCTCTCTTGGCTTTATTTTTCTACATAGCACACTACATATTTTACTTATTTGTTTGTTTTCTGTCTCCCGCCAACAGTAGGCTTCGTGAAGACAAGATTCTTCTCTGTTTTGCTCACTGCTGTATTCTCATGCCTAGAACAGTACCTGGCACTCGTAGGTGCTGAATAAATATGGATTGAATAAATAGAAGACTATTTCCTCTTTTCAAGGTGAAAGCTGCAAGAAATAAATGAAGTTCTTATTTGTCCAATTTTCCCTCCACAGTGGCAGAGCTGTGCGTTCTGTATGAACAGGATGTGGAGGGAATGGTGGGCGAGCTCTTGACCTACACCAACACAAAGAAAGACTGCCTTACCTCGGAGACCCTGAGCTCTTTTGAGCGTGAGGTAAGAGCACAATGTAAGGAAACTCATTGTGTGGTTCTCCATCTCTGCTCTATAGTGGAGGGACTAGGATATATTGAAAAGAGTATGGACTTTGGAATCAGACCTGGTTGCAGTCCCAATGTGAGCTTGGACAAAGTACTTAATGTCTCTGAGCCTTGGTTCCCTCTTCTGTCAGTGGTTCTAGTAATCAGTATTTTGGGAGGTTATTGTAAGAATTAAATAAAAATGGGTGTAAATCACTTAGGACTGTGCCCAGCAGGTGGTAGGTTTTTAATAAGAAATTGGTGTTATGATTAGAATTGTTATGTGTTATAGAGAAACTGTCACAGAATAAGTTGTTGTTTTTTTTACTGCTCCAGTCAACAAAATAGAAACTTTATTGAGGTCCCAGAGTCACAGGGTTCAGGCAGAAGGCTGCCCTGTGTGCCCGAGGAGGTGGTGGAGGAGTCTTTTTTAACCTTCTTGGGGCGAAGGTTGTTGGTGTGGCCGCACTTCTTGCCGGGGTTGACAGCACTTGCGGCAGATCATCTTGTCGCAGTTGTACTTCTGGGCGAGCAGGCGGAGGGAGGGTTCGATGATGCCACCCCTGGGACAAAGCGCCAAGTGCAGGTGGTCTCTTTCTGAATATTGTAGTCTGAGGGATTGCGGCCATCCACTAGCTGTTTGCCTGCACAAATCAGACACTGTTGGTCAGGCGGGATGCCCTCCTTGTCTTGGAGTTTAGCTTTGACATTCTCAGTGGTATCACTGGGCTCAACCTCAAGGGTGATGGTCTTGCCAGTCAGGGTCTTCACAAAGATCTGCCTCTCTCCGCTGCCTCGTTTAAAAGAGACAAAATAAGTCTCTATTTTTAGTCGATTGTGTGGCCCTTAATTCTTACTTTGAGGAATTTTATATCTTTCATTATATTTCGAATGCCTGTTATTACCTCGTGACTGTAGAAAATGCCTCCCCTAATACTTGACTTTGGAATAATATAGTCATTATCTTTTATTCCTCAGTTTCTGAGCAAAAGAGTGTCGAGAGTCCCTCGTCACAGTGCCTCCAAGGACAGTGGGCACGCGGGAGCCAGAGACATTGTTTCCATACAAGAGCTGTATCCTTTCTCCTGAAGGTTTTTGCCTCAGGCCAGAGTCTATTTTATAATTTCTTTACAGTTGCATATGTTGTTTAAAAACAAAAAGAAAAAGTACCTACTGTTCAGATTTCTATTTAGTCAACCCTTGCCTTAGATTTTAGTGGAAATTTGTTATTATTTTTCTTAACCAATATTTTTAGACTAGAAGTGGAGGAAGAAGATGAGACCCTCTTGAACTCTTATGCTACACCCTCTAAGGTGAGTTTAGTGTTTGGAGATTGCATTTTTAAGTGGTGTTTTTTTCTTTATTCTAAAATCATCATGACATTTGAAGTTCTGAGGGGGAAAATTAACCACTCAGTTTCCATATATTTCCTACCATATTTCCTCTTCTGCATCTTCCTTCTTAATCACATGCATACCTGTTTTTACATGATGTCCTTGTGAACATTTCGTTATCCTGCTGTTTTCAGTTAACAAATCAGCCCTGGCCGGTTTGGCTCAGTGGTTAGAGTGTCGGCCTGCAGAGCAGGGAGTCCTGGGTTCAGTTCCTGGTGGGGGCACGTAACAAAAACAAAAACAAATCATAGAATTTTTATAAATACAATTTCTCCGTAACTATTCTTTTTTTTTCTCACCCGAGTGGGAAGAAGGGAGAGAGAGAAACATCAATGTGATAGAGCCACATCAACTGGTTGCCTCCTGCACAATCCGACCAGGGCCGGGGACGAACCGCAACCGAGGTATGTGCTCTTGACCAGAATCGAACCCGCAACTCATTGGTCCATGGGCTGACGCTCTAACCACTTAGCAACCGGCCAGGGTCATAACTACTCCTTTTAATAGTTATGCATTGTATCAGGTGGAGGTACTGTAAACGAATAATCCAATTATAGTGTTGGGTTCCAGCGTGACAGAGAGTAGGTAGTGGGAAAGCATTGCCCTCAAAGCCTGAGTCAAGGCTTAGGTGCCCTGGCCGGTTTGGCTCAGCGGTTAGAGCGTCGGCCTGCGGTCCGGAGAGACCCGGGTTCGGTTCCCGCTAAGGGCACGTACCTCGGTTGCAGTTTGTCCCCGGTCCTGGTTGGTCGTGCGGGTGGCAGCCACTCTATGTGTCCCTTTCACATCGTTGTTTCTCTCTCTCTCTCTCCCTCCTGCTCTATCTGAACAAGGAATGAAAAAGTGTCCTCGGGTGAGGATAAAAAAAAAAAAAAAAAAGGCTTAGGTGACCTTGGGTGAGTTGTTTTTCTTCTCTGAGCTGCAGTTTCCTTACCTATACAATTAGGATTCATTATTCATTACTGAGCAGCTACTATGTGCCAGGTGATGGACAGTGAATGAAACAGGCATGGAGGAGTTCTTCCCTCCAGAAGCTCACAGCCAGGGAATAATAATACTATCTCAGGGCTTGAATATGTAAAGAGCCAAGCCCAATGCAAGGTATTCAGTAATATAGTTACTCTTTATACAAAATAAATTTTTGGAAATCCATAAACATGAAGTAAGCCTTAATTTTTTTAAGTAAATCACATGGTAAGAAAGAAGGTAAATAGTTTGTGCCTATGGAGAAGAAGAAAGCGAAAAATGTACCCTGTGAAGTTGCTCACAAAACCAGGTATGAAAGGAAATAGTGAGATTTTACTTAGAGATTATAAAGTCAGCACTTTCTTTCCCTGTAAAGGTGGTCCTCTCCTAGGGTCCACATCTCATCAAAGGCACCCCATTCTTCCATTTGCTCCGGTCAGGAACTTTGGAGACCTCCTTGAGTCTTTCTTTTCACCCCACATCCGACTTCTGTGCCAGCTCTCCTTCCACGATCTGGGCCCTTCTCACCACCTCCACTGCCACCACCAGATCCCTGGCATCCCTGACTCCTGAATGAGTGGGACAACCTCCTAACTGGTCCCCTGGCCCCTTTCTGCCTTGTTCATCTCTAACCAATTCTCTACAAGCACCCAGGGTGTTCCTTTCAAATGAAAGTCAGGCCAGGTTTTTCTTGCTCACAGCTCTCCATCTTCCCCAATAACTTACTAACCTAGTAAATTCAGTCTGTGGGTGTGTGAAGTTCTGTCTGAGCTGGTCCCCACTCCCTCTTTCCTCCCACATCTCTTCTCACTCTGGTCTCCTTGCTTTCCTCAAACATGCCAAACATGAGGGTGCACCTCATATGTCCCCTTGTCAGAGGGAACATACTTGCCTAAAATCGCAACCCCCTCTTCTTCTCTCCTTTATTTTCTTTTCTTGCTTCATTTTTTGCCATAGAACTTACGACCATGAGACATGTTATATATTTACTTGGTTTAGTCTGTCTCCCTCCATTAGAATGTAAGCTCCTGAGGACAGAGACTTGCTTTGGTCAGTGCTGTTCTCACAGTGCCTGCCACTTCAGTAGTTGCTGAAGGACAGACCTGAAAGAGGGCGATTGGTTGGCTCTCTCGGTAGCATTAAATGGAATTGCAGTACCTGTTGGGACCACCACCGTGTTGATCTGATTGACAACTTCAGAGCTCCAGAATTGATCTAACTTGTCTGTGTACCCAGAGTTCATTGTATTCTTGGGGATTAACTCGTGGTAACTCAGCTCTCAGACCGATGTGTAAGTCAGATGCAAATTTACTATTGAACTATGTACCCTCTCAAAGCCTGAGGTGCCACCTTGGAGACACCCCATTCCTGCTACAGAAGTACTTGGAAGGTTCACTTACAGATCAGAATTCATGACCATGGAATCAGAGCTCAGTCAGTAGGATTGAAATGAGCACAAACAATTTGAAATACATGTCTGAAGCTCAGAGGAGATGTAATATGGGTCTGGGCTTGAGTTCTGTAATACGCTTAGACTAGTACCTGTTGCGTGGAAACTGCTCGATCACTGTTAGACCATGCACCAGTGGCAGTGTGATAAAAGAGCCATGGTGCCGCCCTGGCCGGTTTGGCTCAGCGGTTAGAGCATCGGCCTGCGGTCCAGAGAGACCTGGGTTCGGTTCCTGCTAAGGGCACGTACCTCGGTTGCAGTTTGTCCCCAGTCCTGGTTGATCGTGCGGGTGGCAGCCACTCGATGTATCTCTCTCTCTCTCTTTCCCCCTCCCACTCTATCTGAACAAAAAATGGAAAAATGTCCTCGGGTGAGGATTAAAAAAAAGAGAGAGAGCCATGGTGCCAGATGTGGCCTTTCCACACATACAGTGCCGGGCTGAGGTCGCCTGCCCTTGTCAGGTCTTGGGGCAGGTACTCCTGTTATAGTGGTGAATGTCAGTGGGTTTGCTTAGCAGCATGAAATATTTGGCTTGTTCAGTTGACAGCTATTCTTTTGCCTCTGTGCTCACCAGAAATCTTCGGGTTATAATTTGGGTTTCCACGTGTCCAGCCTGACAGGAGAGAATGTGTTAGTATGAGGATTTGAAGTTCCCATATCATCAGTATTATATTTCTAGTAAATTAGTAAACTGACATCCTTGGCTGTAATTTGGGTTCCTGTGTTGTGTGAGAATGTGCTTATATGAGAATAGGGTACCCTCTGTATTTCTCAGTACAAGAGAAAAAACTGGCATGTAGTGGGGGGTTTTGTTTTGTTTTAATTTTTTTTACTTCATTGATTTTAGAGAAGAAAGGAAAGAGAGAGAAACATCGATGTGAGAGAGACACATCAGTCAGCTGCCTCCTGCATACCCCCCACCAGGGATTGAGTCCCTAACCCGGGGCATGTGCCCTGACTAGGAATCGAACCCGGATCTCTCAGTCCATGGGACAATGCTTGATCTGCTGAGCCAAACCAACCAGGGCAAAACGTATTTTTTTTAAATTAATGGAAAAAAATATCATCAGGTGAATATTAAAAAATAATAATAAAATGGTTGTTTATAGGGTGGTAGCATAAGAGTTTTAAAATCTAGTTTCCATTCCAGCCCCTTAATGATGATTTTGACTGTTCTCCTGGGTCCCTCTCGCAGTGCCACAGTGGGCAGATGTGGTGCTATGACTCAGACCCGCAGCCAGGAGGAGCCCCAGGGCAGAGAGCGCCTGGCAGACTGGCTGGCCTGCTGGCTGCAGTCTAGGCAAGGACTTTGCCTTCGCTTTGTCCGTCAGTTATCCTAGACTTTGGGGAGCAATGTGTCTCTGGACTGTGGGCTTCATCCTCCATTCTAGGCATATCTTTGGATTCTTGCTGATGAGCAAAAACCAAAAAGTGACCATCAGTGAGATATTTGCTAAATACTCTCCAAGTATGAGCTCAGTCATGTTATCTGCCTTGAGTCATTCCCTTCTTTAATTTTGAAAATGTGTGGTAGACTTTGCCAAAATAAGTAGTGACACAGTCCCATCCCTTCTCAGGAAAATGCGTCCATGCAGGCCAAAACCCACACATTGTTAAACTCACACCTGGGGGCGGGGGGTGGCTGAACCATATGACGGCACAGATTGCCCACTGGGCAGTTCTATTTAGGAAATGTTGGCACTTTTTCATGATTGCCTTCAATGTGGGGACAGTATTCTGATACGTTCTGGGTTATAGCTGCTGAAGATTTCTGTATGGGGTTATGCTCCACAGATGGAACCTTAAGACCCAGTCCTAAGCATCTGTACATTTAATTAGTAACTTGGGTCTAGAGGGACTGGGATTTTGTTTTCTGTTTTGTTTCTAGGGTTCTCAGAAGCGAGCTGTCACCACCCCAGAAACCCCCCTAACAAAAAGGAGGATGTCTACTCGCAGCCCCCATCAGCTCCTCTTGCCATCGAGTTTTTCTCCAAGGTATGAATTAATGCAGTTTCCAAAAAGCTGGCCTGCCCTCCTGTTTCTGTGGTTATCTGGTGGAGGCTGACTCCACCATGAAGTCAAGCTGGGGTGACTTATTAAATGGGGGTGGACGGATACTGCCCCCATGAACTGGCTGGAAAGCTCATTGCTCTCTGCCCCCTGCTTTCTCTTCCTGTGTGGAAAGTTACTGTTTCTTCCAGTAATCAAGGAAACTCACTTTCCACCTACTTTTCTGGGGCTCGTTTCCTAGATCAGAAACTGATATCCTCTACTGGAAACAACCTGTCTATTCAGAGGTCTGAGTCTGCCCAGTCCTGCCAGTGGAGGCGGAGGGCCCTTCACCTGCTTCTGTTCGTGTGTTGTTGGGTTTCTTTTGTTTTCTTTTCTTTTTCTATCGAAAGTAGTTATATTTTAAAAAAGAAAAGCACATATCTTTGTTCATAATGTTGCATAACCTGTTCACTGTGCCACCTCAGGTTACAGCTAGTTTGAGAGTTTTCTTGTCCCTGTGAACCTGCACTGACTTAATGGGTATTTTGTCCCTGCTGCCGCTTCTGCAGTTGAATCCACAGAGCTCACTGGGATGTCTTTGAAATCCATAAATGACACGGCTCATATTAGAGAATTCCGTAGGTGAGAGCTGTGCTCGTGGGAGAGGTTGCTAGGGGCGGCCGGGGGCGGCCGCGTGCCGTGTCTGGAGGAGGCTAAGGAACAACCATCGAGGAAACGCTATTGCAGGGGTCACCATCTCAGCTTTGATCGCTTCTAGACAAGCAGAGCTGAAGGTGTTTAAGCTCTGTCGCTTTATTCGTTTTTTGTTTTTTCCTTATTGATTTTAGAGAGAGAGGAAATGAGAGGGAGAGAGAGAGAAACATCGATGAGAGAGAACATCAGTTGGCCGCCTCCTGCATGCCTTGCACTGGGGCTCTGCTCACAACCTGGGCATGTGTCCTGACCGGGAATCAAACTGGCAACCTCTTGGTGCATGGGTCGATGCTCTACCTCTGAACCAGACCGGCCAGACAGTTCTGTCACCTTTTTTTTTTTTTTTAATTGGGTACAATTTTATTGTCTTCTGCCTTAAAACTTGAAAGTCCAAACTACTAGACGAGAGCGCTGTTCCAGAGGCTGCTGTGTGAGATATCTTGTTTTTGCCCTGGTCTTTATCCCGCTGTTATTAGTGCGTCATAAAGTGAGAATCGTCGGCTCTACCACATCTCGGATGTTCCTCCCTCGGAGCCAGACGCCCACATGGCTGCCTAGCTCTCTCACTTTAGAAAGGAGGTGGTAGCAGGCGGTAGAGCCGTCATTGGATTCTGAAGGACAATTTGACCTCCGTGGTCCACTACTGTTTTGGGGAGTTCTTGAACTTTTTAGAAGCAATCTGTCTAGACTTACAAGGGTGCTGTTGAAACTTGGTGCATAGAGATGGTTCTCCTAGGGGCCGGCACCACTACAGTAGTCGTATTCTCTGAACAAGCAGTCCTTTGGGACCTGTAGGCCTTTGTACGGCTGCTCGGGCCTTAAAGGGCCAGCGGTCATGGACGGCCCACGGAGCTTTGCGGGGAGGGGCTTAGAGAAGTCAGGGATATGCTACCTAGTCATTGTTAAATGCACGCTAATAAAGCCGACATCAGAAGCTGGTTTTGTAATTTATGAAAGTAACTTGTAAATTATTCAGGTGGAGGCAGCTCTGGAGATAGAGATAATTAATTGAGTCGTTTTCTGTAGCCTGTCTGTGGAAGAAGGAACGCTGGCACCTCTTGCAGTGGGGCCCACACACAGCTGGTTGCTGCAGAGTTTCGGTGCATTAAATAAGCCTGTTTTAAATAGACCTCTCTGTAAGTTATTTTCACAGCCAAAGGATTGGAAGACCTTGCTCTCATCTAAGAAGATAGCAAAGTCTGAGTGTTCTTGGGGGTGTAATTGACCCCCCTGGAAATATGAGAACATGTCAGTTGAGCCTTGGAGAATGGGAATGTTTGTTCACCAGCTGACCAGATTCATTACATCTCCACCTCCATGGACACTGGAAAGTTGATTCTTTCCACTTAACTTCATTTTGTTGTTTCTACCTTGAGCTACGTGGTGAGGTGCTATTTCTACAGCAACCTTTGGCTTATCTAAAGTTCCAGGCTCTGACGATATTCTAATAAATGCTAAATAGTCACGAGAGGGGAAAAGAAAATGGTACTTGAATCTTGCTTTTTAATCAGTTAAGAGTTTGAGTTTAGTTTTGCTTTGTTTAGTTTTAAGCCAGGGGAAGGACCTATGAAAATATGTCTCTGTCTCTTTTCTAACATGTTTGGTATTGCTCAACCTGGTATTCCTCAGCCCCTCATTCCTGAAATTCCTTGAAGGTTGGGGTATGTCTGACCCCATTAAGCTGATTAGATTTATGATCCCTAGCTTGAGGTTTCTCCAATCCCCTTTTCCAAAAGATAACCTCCTTTTATTCCTCTCTCCCTGTATATATGAACACAGTAACGTTCAACTCTCTTGCTTCCAATTAGTGCTACTCCCTCTCAGAAATACAACTCAAGAAATAACCGAGGAGAAGTGGTTACTTCCTTTGGCTCAGCACAGGGAGTATCTTGGTCCGGGAGAGGAGGAGCTGGTGTCATCAGCCTGAAAGTCTTGGGGTGTCCAGAATCACTAACTGGGAGCTACAAATTCATGTTTCAGAAGCTCGCAGACATTCGAGAAGGTGATTGTTTTTCCCTTTGAAATTCTGGACGATATAAAACCACCTGGAAGGGTTTAGAGTAAGTAGCAAGGCTTCGGCTAGGCTGCAGAACAAGTTCCAGGGCTGCCTTTGAATATGTTCAGTTGGTAGATGTCCTCTGGGTGCCTCTGTTAGTGGAAGAATGTGAGATGATACTCTCAGTAATTCTCCCAAGTGACTTCCCTTTGCTAAGGAAAAGTGCTAAAGGAAAAGCACATAATGATTTCCCAGTAACAACCACTTAAACTATGTAAAGGAAGCCAATTAAAGTATTAAAGTAGAAACACTTGTATGACTTCTTCCTTGTGAAGAATGGAAGACTGTCAAGGTTGGGCTTGACTTGCCCTAACCCTCCCTGGCGACCTGAGTAGAAGGAAGGCTATGGGGTGGGGCTCCGTGCTGACTGCCTGGAACTGTGCTACATGATCCCCTGTGGCCAATGGAAGGCCAGATTCAGCAGCCAAGTATGGGGAAATTGGCTAGGGCGTTAGAAAGCATGAATTGGCCAGATCTAAGCACCCTTCCTGCTTCTGTAAAATGACTGGCGTTAATGTTTGACAATGTGCTGTATTTTCTCTTCTTGGCAAGTGAAATGTCTTAAACAATACTTTTTCCCCTCCGGGATTTCAGTTCTGACCTGTAAGATAGAAGAGCTTGGCAGTGAACTCAAGGAACATTACAAGATTGAAGCTTTTACTCCTGTTCTAGTTCCAGCACAAGTAAGAGTTGTTCTAAATAGGCCTTTCTAATTAGTACTGTATTTTCCAATCCATGGTGAAAAGCATCCTTTTGCTTCCCTTTTCATTTCTCTACATGCTAGTTAGAATATGTATCCTGGTTGGATTTGGTAAAATGAGTTCTTTTGAAAAAAGACTTACAGATGCTCTCTGGTTTTGTGACCAGACACAGCCATTGTCTTTGCACTTGGGTTTGGGTTGCGCACATAGCAAAGATGGGAGGCCTTAAGCAATCAAGTGTCAGAATGTGGGGACACCCGCAAGGATAGAAGTTCCAGAAATGATGACTTACACAGTCTCTTCTATGTTTGGTCTCTGTTGTTATGAACCAGCTGCTGCCTGTGGTGTCTTTTTTTTTTTTAATTCTCACCCGAGGATATTTTTCCATTGATTTTCAGATAGAGTGGGAGGGAGGGGGAGAGAGAGAGAAACATTGATGTGAGAGAGGTACATTGATTGGCTGCCTCCCATACAACCCCAAGCAGGGCCAGGGATTGGACCACAACTGAGGTTCGTGCCCTTGACCAGAATCAAACCTGCGCCTCATTGGTCCATGGACTGTCGCTCCAACCGCTGAGCCAGACCAGCCAGGGCCCTAGAATGTTTTTTAATCTAAGGGGAGATGTGTCTAGAAGAGTCTATAAGGTACCTCAGTCATATGTTTTCATTCAGAGAAGAATGACCAGCTGGGGAAGATTTTTTTTAATGTAAAACTATGTGTTATGAGGAAGTTTGGGGGGGAAGTAGTGGAGGGGGCACAGGGATGCATGCTATTGTGGGAAAAGATTAGACTTCCTCCGTTGGCCCCAAGGAGTGAGAACAGGGCAGAGGAAGCCACAGGAAGAGAAGTTTCAGCTTAATTTAATGAAGAACTTCCGGTTAAGAGGCAGTATCATGTGTGGTTAAGAATACGGCTCTAGCCCTGGCCAGTTTGGCTCAGCGGTTGGAGTGTTGGCCTGTGGACCAGAGAGTCCCAGGTTTGGTTCCCGCTAGGAGCACATGCCAAAAAATAAAAAAAAATTTTTAAATTAAAATTAAAAAAGGATATGGCTCTAGAGCCAAACTTCTGGGCTTCAGACCCAGGCTTCACCCACTGTTTGACCTTGACTAAACTGTCTGGTGTCTCTATTGCTCATTTTTGTCATCTGTAAATTGGATACAGTAATATAGTAACCACTTCACTGTTGTTGTGAGGACTAAATGAGTCAATATTTGTATGCCTTCAGAACAGTACTTGCTATTTAGTAAGCTCATTAAACATCAGCTATGTTTTTTTAAATACGTTTTTATTGATTTTTTTAGAGAGAGAAGGAGATAGAAACATCAATGTGAAAGAGATAACATCGATCAGTTGCCTCCTGCATGCCCCCTACTGGGAATCGAGCCCACAACCCGGGCATGTACCCTAACCAGGAATTGAACTGGGACCTCTCAGTCCATGGGACGACGCTCAATCCACTGAGCCACACGGGCCAGGCATCATGAGCTATTATTAACAGTTACAACTATCCAGACATGCAGTGGGCTGCTTTGAGGGTACGGAGGCAACTTCCCCTTCACTAGATTTGCTCAAGGTTAAGGTAGCCATATAGAGGGGCTCAAGCATTGAGTGGGCAAACTGGATGCCCTGTAAGAGTTCCAATATCCCCTGAGGGTCAGCGATGATGCTTGTCACCTCAGAGTCAAAATGATAACCCACCAAAATAATGTGTTGTTATTTGGGATTTTGCTATTCACCTTGTTGACTTCAGATTTTGAGCCTCTGTCCCAAAGACTGTATGGGTCTTTTGTTGTAACCTTCCTTTGGTAGGAGCCTGTCACGCTGCTGGGCAAGATTGGCTGTGATAGCAATGGGAAGCTGAACAACAAATCAGTGATTCTGGAGGGAGACCGGGAACATTCCTCTGGCGCTCAAGTTCCAGTGGATTTATCTGAGCTCAAAGAATACTCTCTGTTTCCTGGGCAGGTGAGATGGGGAGCAGGCATGCTCTTTATTCCGTAGTATGTGCCATGGGCTGTGGCCCTGAGAATGAGCTTTTCACCACTGGCATGCTGCACCTCGCTTTCGACCTCTGCTGCCAGGAGGTGTGGCTGGAGCATAGGCCCAAGAGTGGACACTGGTGTGGGGTTCCGATTTGCCCTTGTGTGCTCTGACCTTGGCCCTGGAATCTGATGCCCAGGTTCTAATCCCAGCTCCATGCCATGAGGTATGTGATTATGGCCATGTTAGTTAGTCAGAGTGTCCTCATCTGTAAAATAGAAATAATAATTCTTACCTCATAGGATTGTTATAAAAATTAGGTCATCTGTGTGAAGAATAATTATTATTACTAACACAACCCCTTTAATTTGTTTTCCAGAAAAATACTCCCAAGTTTACAATTACAAAAGGAGCATAACTGGACAATACTTTTAATTATATCAAAATAATTTATTCCTGGCCTCTTGTTTATCTTCCCTGTTTCGCTTCTTGTCTTTCAGGTTGTAGTCATGGAAGGGATCAACACCACTGGTAGAAAATTTGTTGCCACTAAACTCTACGAGGTACCACAGCGGTCCCCCACCCTCCCTCCAGGTTTGCCACGGGCATAGGTGTGCAGTTAGCCTGTCCTTTTTAAGAACCTATTTATTGTCCTGGCTGGTTTAGCTCAGCGGTTAGAGTGTCGGCCCGCGGACCAGAGAGTCAGGGGTTTGGTTCCCGCTAAGAGCACATACCTCGGTTGCAGTTTGTCCCTGGCCCTGGATGGGGTCGGGTGGGTGGCGACCACTCGATGTGTCTCTCTCACGTGGATGTTTCTCTCTTTCTCTTCCTCCCTCTCTCCCTCCTGCTCTATCTGAAGATAAATGCAAAAATGTCCTCGGGTGAGGATTTAAAAAAAAAAAGAACCTATTTATTTTCTTCTCAATTCTCTATCTCTAGAGTGGCAACCTATCTCTACTCTAGGCCAGGGGTTAGCAAATTGTTTCTGTAGAGGGCCAGCCAGCAAATATTTTAACAACAGTGGCCATAGACAATCTGTAAACCAATGAGTATCTGTGTGCTAGTAAATCTTTATGTGCAAAAATAGGTGGTGGCCATATTTGGCCCACAGGCCTTGGTTTACCTGCCCTGGCTCTAGGCAGTGATCCTCCACAGATTTTCATAGAATGCTTTCCCCTCCCTACTAAGGACGCTCCCACTTTCTCCCACTTTTGCTGGGTATTTTATGAGTTTGGCTGTGACCTCCCATTTTCTGGGTTTCTTTGCCACTCTGAGCAAATAAAGGGAAATGGCAAGTACCATTGGCTCTGTGAGCTTTTATTTTTATTTATTTATTTAATCCTCGCCCAAGGACATTTTTGCATTTATCTTCAGATAGAACAGGAGGGAGAGAGGGAGGAAGAGAGAGAGAGAGAGAAACATCTATGTGAGAGAGACACATTGAGTGGTTGCCACCCACATGGCCCCAACCAGGGCTGGGACAAACTGCAACCCAGGTATGTGCACTTATGGAGAACTGAACCCAGGACTCTCTGCGGGCCGATGCTTTTAGCTCCAAGGAGCAAAACACCCGCCAACAGGCCCCTATTCAGTGCCCACCCCTTTCCATACCAACAGCAATGCCTAGGGCAAGACTTCAGTTTTGCCTCTCTCCTGTTTTTAAGGGTGTGCCGCTTCCGTTTTATCAGCCCACCGAAGAGGATGGAGGTAAGTTTTTGTTCAAACATTGTTTTGCCAACAATGAGGGTGGTGGGCAAGGGTGCAGTGGTGTGGTCCCTCGGGCCCCAAGGAAGCTCCCTAAGTTGTGAGAGCACCGTGAGGAGGCCCAGCACATAGCGGGTTCACAGACCCCAATGGGGGTCCAGGGGTCTGACCACCTGGGCTCTGAGTACAGAAAGTACGTCATCCAACTCTAATGTTAATAGATATTTGAAGGTTGCTTTGAAAAAGGAAAACTAGGAGCTGTTTAAAAAGGAATTTCTTTAAATGCAGCACGGTATCCTGCATTGTGTTCTGGAAAAGGGACATTAGTGGAAAAACTAGTGATATACACATAAAGTCAGGAATAGTTAACGGTGATATATCAGCATTAATTCCTTAGTTTTGACAAACGTAGGAAAGATGCTGACATTAGGGGACACTGGGTGAAAGGTATACATGTGGCAGCTCTGTCCTGCCTTTGCAACTTGTCTATAAGTCTAAAGTTATTCCAAAATAAAAATTTTATTAAAAAATTAGAGTCCAGCCCTGGCCAGTTTGGCTCAGCGGTTAGAGCGTTGGCCTCCGGTCCAGAGAGACCCGGGTTTGGTTCCCACTAAGGGCATGTACCTCGGTTGCAGTTTGGCCCCGGCCCTGGTTGGGGTCATGTGGGTGGCAGCCACTCAATGTATCCCTTTCACGTCGATGTTTCTCTCTCTCGCTCTCGCTCTCTCGCTCTCCCCCTCCCTCCCTCCCTCCCACTGTACCTGAATAAAAAATGGAAAAATGTTCTCGGGTGAGGATTTAAAAAAAAAAGTTAGAGTCCAGCTGGTGTGGCTCAGTAGTTGAGCATTGACCCATGTACCAAGAGGTCGTCAATTTGATTCCCGGTCAGGACACATGCCCAAGTTGTGGACCTGATCCCCAGTGGAGGGCATGCAGGAGGCAGCCAGTCGGTGTTCTCTGTCATTGATGTTTCTGTCTCTCCCTTTCTCTTTCTAAAATCAATAAAGGAAAAAAATTTAAAAAAAAAAAAAATAGCCCTGGCCGGTTTGGCTCAGTGGTTAGAGCGTAGACCTGCGGTCCAGAGATACCCGGGTTCGGTTCCCGCTAAGGGCATGTACCTCGGTTGCAGTTTGTCCCCGGCCCTGGTTGGATCGTGCAGGTGGCAACCACTCGATGTGTCCCTTTCACGTCGATGTTACTCTCTCTCTCTCTCTCTCTCTCCCTCCCACGCAATCTGTACAAAATCTGGGGGGGGGGAAATAGATGAAGTCCTGGTTAGTGGCTCAGTGGTTAGAGCACAGCCTGTGGACCGAAGGGTTGCAGGTTTGATCCCTGGCCCTGGTTGGGGTCATGCAGGAGGCAACCAATCGATCTGTCTCTCTCACATTGTTGTTTCTCTCTCGCTCTCTCTCTCTCCTCCCCTCCCTCCCTCCTTCCCTCCCTCCCTCCCTCCCTCCCTGCCTCCCTCCCACTCTATCTAAAAATCTATGGGAAAATATCTTTGGGTGAGGGTTAACACACAAAAAAATTAGATGAATTTCTAAGAAAGCCTCGAGTTTGGTAACTAAACTAGATGGGAAAAGACAAAAAGAAATTTTATTTTTTATTTATTTTTTATTTTTTATTTTTATCCTCACCAGAGGATATTTTTCCATATTTTGTACAGATAGAGTGGGAGGGAGAGAGAGGAAGGAGAGAGAGAGAAACATCGACGTGAAGGGACACATCAAGTGGCTGCCACCCGCACGACCAACTAGGGCCGGGGACAAACTGCAACCGAAGTACATGCCCTTAGCGGGAACCGAACCCGGGTCTCTCTGGACCGCAGGCCGACGCTCTAACCGCTGAGCCAAACTGGCCAGGGCGACAAAAAGAAATTTTAACAAACTTTGCTTTAAAATAGTTATGAAAGCATTTTTGTAAGGAAGGTGGACTTGAAGATTCACCGTGAGATGGCCCACACCTGTGCACATTGGTAGTCTATGAGGCCGTTCTTGGTGATGACCTAGAATGAGGAATGAAATTTAGGAATTAATAATACTGTGCATTCTATCAGGAAACGTGTTTATGGCCATATTAGTAGCATGGTGGCATTAGATCAGCTTCAGAGAATGAAAAAAATCAACATGGTTGAGATTCCCAGAGCCTGAGCTGTGTGCCAGGGAAGCCTTCCGAAGCAGCTGAGTAAGTTGTCAACGATGTTTTGGGAGCAGGGTACGGAGTGAGGTGCTCATGGAGACAGTAAGACATGAGCCTTGCCTTCTTGGCACTTGCTAGTTGCCCCAGGTTTACATCTCCTGTAGGCACCTCAGAACCAAATTTAACTTTGTCCCCTGCTCTGTATGGAGCTTAGTCTTCCCCTTGAATTCTCTGTCTCGGGTCATGGTATCACCACCTGTGAACTTGTTGCTTATGTGGCCAAAGGGACTTTGCCGATATGATTAAGGGTCTTGAGGTGGGGAGTTATCCTGGATTATCCATGGAGGCCCAGTATAGTGATAGGGTCCTTATCAGAGGGAGGGTTGGAGGACCAGTTTCAGAGAGACCAGAAATGTCTCTGGCTTTGAGGATGGAGGAGGGGCTGTGAACCAAGGAATGCAAGCAGCCCCCTGTAAGCTAGAAAAGGCGAGGAAACATTCTCCCCTCAAACCTCCAGAAGAAACACAGCCTAGCCAACGCCTTGGTTTTAGGACTTCTGATCTCTTGCATTATTAATAGTAGATATGTGTTGTTTTAAGTCACTAAGTTGGTCGTTTGTTACAGCAGACCTGGGAAATGAACACAGCTGCATGTTAAGAAGTCGGGGATCTTTGGATTTTGTTGTTTTGTTGTAAGCTACTGAAACTGGTTCAGACTACCTTAAGAAAAAGAAAATTTGTTAGAGGAAGTCCAGGTAGCTCACAGGCTGGACAGGTGGCTAGAAATCCAGGCTAGAACCAGATAAGGACCTAGCAACTCCATGTGTCCAGGTAGCAGGAATTCCCCAACTGTCTCATCCAGTCACCTCTGCAGGAATAGGTCAGCTCCAGCTTTTTTCCTATCTTTGGATAGTTCACCTCGGGATTCCAGAACCTGGGAGGAGAGTAAGAATGGCTGAAACTGGATCACGTGTCTGTCCCTCGGCTAGGGGAGGACAGTGCACCTAATTCATAGCCCCCAAGACTGCTTTAAGGAGGAGACGGCTGGTTCTCCGAAAGGAAAGCAGATTCTGTGAGGAAAAGGGCACCGTATGGCGGGTGCTGGTGCACAGCAAGCCCCTGCACCCCGTCACGCAACACCCTCCCATTCTAAGCCTTGCACCCCAGCCTGTCCTGGACTCCTCAGGATACCACATGCTCCAGCCACGCTGAACCATCAGATACCCCTCACAATGAACACACTAATCACAGCTCTTCAGGACCCTGCCTTGCCCTTACTCCAGAAAATTCTACCTACAAGTGTAGCTAGGTGAATGTAATAAGCCAGTCACAAAAAGTGAGATACTTATGATCCCACTCATACGAGACACCCAGAATCATCAAATTCGTAGACAGACAGGAGAATAGTGGGTGGCAGGGGCTGGGGGAGTGGGGAGTGGGGAGTTAGTGTTCACTGGGGACAGTTTCAGTTTCACAAGATGAAGAGTTGTGCAGATGGCTGGTGGTGATGGCTGCACATCATGAATGTATTTAATACTACTGAAATGTTAAAATGGTTAAGATGGCAAACTTAATGTTAAATGTATTTTACCACAATAAAAAAAATTAGGGGGAGCCCTGGCCAGATTGCTCGGTTAGAGCGTCATCCTGTACACCAAAAAGTTATGGGTTTGAGTCCCATTTGGGGCTTGTATGGAAGGCAACTGATTGATGTTTCTCTCTCTAAAAATCCATTTAAAAATACCTGTATACAGGGGGGAAATATTATAAGTAAATATCCTTTGATCAGTTCTCTCCTGACTGCCACTTTCTTCCCATCGCTTCACTCACTGCTGGAAGTGCGCCTGTCATGCGGTCCAGTTATGTGCATACCTGCCTGTGCACCTGCTGGTTGAGGATTCTGTGAGGATGGGGATGAGATCTTGCTCCTCTTGGGTTCCCAGAATTGCACACATAAGGAGACTCAATTAATTGAACCCTGTGGCATTTCTCCCTAGTTGTCCTTCTAATCAACACCATACAATCCTTTCTGTCTTAGATTTTGAGCAAAACATGGTCTTGGTGGCCTGTGGGCCATACACCACATCTGACAGCATCACGTATGACCCCTTGCTTGACCTGATCACCACCATCAACCACGATCGGCCGGACGTCTGCATCCTGGTAGGAGGCCCTCCCGGGACAGCTTCGCTCGGGGAGGTACCAGTGGGAGAACCAGGCAGTCGGCTTTGGAAAAGGTCCAGAGCGGATCTAAATTCTTAGGAAGCATGTGAGATTCTCCTCCTTTCTAAAAATATTTTTTAGGCCCTGGCCGGTTTTGCTCAGTGGTTAGAGCATCAGCCTGTGGTCCAGAGAGACCCGGGTTCGGTTCCCGCTAAGGGCGCGTACCTCAGTTGCAAGTTGTCCCTGGCCCTGGTTGGCCGTGTGGGTGGCAACCACTCGCTATGTCCCTTTCACATCGATGTTTCTCTCTCTCTCTTCCTCTCTCTCTCTCCCACTCTATCTGAACAAAAAATGGAAAAATGTCCTCGGGTGAGGATAAAATATATATATATATATTTTTTTTTTTTTTAGTTCTCCATCTGCATTTTTGGAGAAGTGTACATGATCTACAGGCCTCAATTTAGTCTAAAAGCCTAACATTTACCCTGCTGGTGTGGCCCAGTGAATTGAGCGTTGTGCCATGGACTGAGAGGTCCTGGTTCAATTCCCTGTCAGGGCACATGCCCGGGTTGTGGGCTCCATCCCCAGCGGGGGGTATGCAGAAGGCAGCCGATCAATGTTTCTCTCTCACATCAATGTTTCTATTTCTCTTCCCCTTCCTCTCTCTCTCTCAAAACAATCAATAAAAACATATTAAAAAAAAATAAAAGCTACTATTTTTTCACCCTTCATTTTCTTTCCAGGATTCTTGCTTCTGTCTGATTACTCCAAGTTCTGAACGATTCTCTTTTTAAGCTCAAAGTGCTACCGTTAGCAGGATGGTAGATTTCCCTTGCTAGGTTTAGAACATTAGGGAAAAGCCCCGTGTTGCAGGAGGCTGTACAACTGGTTATGGGGCCAGGACGGCCCCCCACTTGCAGGGCTCATGGCTTTCTGTCTGATCTTGGCTGGGCACCCCCGCCCCACCTGCTAACTGTCCCAGGCTCAACATGCAGCTTTGGTGGGACAGATGGACGCCAAGAAAGAACTGCTAGGAGGGGTTACGTGAAGGCGCTCACGTACATGTTTTGATCTGGTACCTTTGTTTCTCCCCTCGGCCCTATTTGCAGTTTGGCCCTTTCCTGGATGCCAAGCATGAGCAGGTTGAGGTAAGTGACTGGGGTGGGGGGTTGTAGTGGGTACTTGCATTCAGTTGAGCCCTCGCTGGTATTTTCACCTCTTGGAGTCACCCTGCAGCTAATCAGAAAGACATTGTAACAGGGCATTTTTAATAGAGGTGGAATTTGAGGGCTTCATTTCACCAGAGTACATGGCCATTCGGAAGCTGGGGGAGGGAAATCCAAATACAGGAGTCCTGGTGGTCCTTTGTGGTGCCTGACGCTAAGGCCCGAGAGCGCCAACGCGGATGCAGGTGTCCGGGCGTCACGGAGCTGCCTTGGGGAGGTACCTTCCGGCTGCTCCCCTCAGCTCCTGACTCATGGAGCTGTCCCCTGATGCACTAACAAAAATGGCCCTTCCCTGGACGTCTCCTACCGAAACACTCCTCTTAGTGTTTCAGCTTATGTTCAAAAGGATTGGTTCTTCCCCAATCTCCTTTCCTGTCCCACACTGGACTCAGCTCCTTGAGGACAGAGATCTGTCCTTTGCTTCCCCTTCAGCTCTAAGCTCAGCAGCTGGTACACGGGGTCATCTAATGTTAAAGAAGCGAATCAACGCCAAAGGCCCACCCTCTAAGTCTCCTTCTCTTGCAGAACTGTCTGTTGACGAGTCCATTTGAAGATGTTTTCAAGCAGTGTCTACGAACAATTATTGAAGGGACGCGAAGGTCAGAATTAAAAAATGCTGCCCTAAGCTGCCTAGGTTTCTCCTGGGCTTCCTTCCCATTGAAAACCTGAAACTGTTCAAAAGGAAGGGTAGTTTATTTTGAACTAGAGATGAGATAGAACTCTTGAACTTCAAGTGCACAGGCGCTGAGTTAAGAGGCATCTTTGTAAAACACAAAGATCAACACACTTGACTTTTGCTCTTCCCTTGCTGTCTCTGTACTTCCTTCCTTTTCTTGCTCCTGCTCACATACACTCAGATTCCACGGGAATCTTCTGGGGTGATCCTGAGAAGCGCTTGATGACTTACACAACAAAATCCCGAGAGGCCCTAGGCATCTTGTTGTGAGAGTGATCGTTCTGGGTGAGCCCAAGTCCTTCCCCTGAGTCACTGCTTCCCCACATTCAGCAGGGCATCGCCAATGGCCAGAGCAGGCTGTGGTAGAAACCCCGGGAGGGTGGGGATCTTGGATCCCTGCCACAGACCCAGGGGAAGGAGCTGTGAAAGTCCTTCGGGTGGCGAAAGAGATGAGCAGTTCTGATCTGAGAAAAGGGGTGCTGCTGCAGGAACCGTGAGTCCTGCCCCCTTCCTCCAGTGCCGGCTTTGACAGAGATCGGTGTAGCTGACGGGCCTTCTCTGGAGATTTGCTTGCCTGTAGCTGAGCTCAGGAAAAAACAAACATTCCCGAAGCTAAATCTTTAAAAACAAGTCTGTAACAAAGGTGGTTTTTAAAACAAGATGTATAATCTTCCACCCCTTGGCCGTGAGAACTGATCCCAGAGTCGATTAGTCGGAATACTACCTTCCTGTACTGGCAGCGCGGCCAGCGTGGTAGGCCTCGCGGACTGGGGGAAACAGCCCCTAAGTAACCCCAGAGTTGGGGGACTTGAATCATGTAGTGACAGGCTGCAGCTGGAAATGCCCTTCCTCCCACCAGTGAATGTCACAGTGCCTTCCCTCTCGCCTCCCAGGTTTGTTGTGACCCTGAGAGTTCATCGGACCTGGAGAGCTGAGGAGACAAACCCCAGAGAAACAGGAGCAGGGCTAGTGTCCCTGTGTGTTGGCCATGAGGTCTTGGGGACAGGCCGGGCCTGTGTAGCTGGGCGCTTTCAGTGTGAAATTGGGTTCTGTCTGGGTTCCTCACCCCATGTGGCATTGACAGCAGTGGTACAAACAAAGAACAGACCAGGCTTTGTTACCCTGGGGCAGCACCCAGCACCACCAGGCACTTTCATCTGTGGCCAGGGTGTGCCCTCGGGGCTGCCCCACCTTTCCCCAGACAGTGTATAAGGGTCCTCGTTTGGGGAATTTCTTTTTATTCCCAAGAGGTCAGAAGTGCAGAGCATTAAGCTGATGTATCAATACAAACCAGAGCCAGTGAGGAAGCACCCCTCCCTCACAGGAGCCTCCCACCGTGATGTATGAGGTTGTGCAATACTCAGCATAGTTGGAATTTTCTTTTGGATCCCTCCCCCAACAGCCAGTCTATAACCATGAGCAAGGGAGCTGTTTCCTCCTTAACTATTGCTCTTCCAGCGCCTACACTGAAACAGAGCAGTTCCGTCTCTGAAAGTGGCCAGCTGTACCTTCGTGTCCATCAGACTGAGCCCTTGGGATCTGGAGTGAAGCCTGGCTGTTCAAGTTACCCCCAGCCTCTTTGCCAGACTCCGGTAGACTTGATAATTATAGTGGACTTTTCCATGTCAAGAGGACTGTGACTAATATGCAAAGTTTCTTTGGTCTCAAGATTCTGGTTTTCTGTTGCAGAAGTCTCAGTTCACATGAGCAGGCATGACAGACAAGTGACAACAATCACCAACACCTTTATCCCATACGAGGCAGCTTTGGATGTTAGCTACATTCGGGAAGGCCTTACATTTTAAACAAAAGAGGGAGCTGGGAATGAGTTAACAGTGGGTTTTAAATAAGCCCCCAGAGTCACACTTTACGCCTATTTGGTTCATAATAGGCCAAGCAGAGCTTAGGGGACCAAGAAAATGGGGCTTTCTTCCTTTTGTGTGACTGGGGAGGATAGTAGTTGACCCCCAGAGTTAAAGGTTTTTACATCATCCAGCTGGTGTGACTCATTGGACTGACATCATACCATGGACTGAGAGGTCCTGGTTCGATTTCCAGTCAGGACACATGCCCAGGTTGTGGGCTTGAGCCCCAGTGGGAGGCGTGTAGGAGATAGCCGATCGATGTTTCTCACATCAAAGTTTCTATCTCTCCTTTCTCTCTAAACAATAAAAAACTTTTTTTTTTTTTTTAAAGTTTTTACATCACTTGTACGTTATAACCCTAGAAATTCTCCTCTTGCCTCCATCAAAGGGAACGTCTGTCAGCTATGCTTTTACTGTTGCTGTTCAACATGTCTTTCATTTTTACAAGACTATCTGCTAAGAAATGAGAGCCGAGGGCATCGCTTCCCTGTGTGAGGGAGGGGCTGGCTCTGGGAGAAGCCAGTCGGGTGTCCCCATTGCTCTGACAACGTCTCTGTCCTAGATGTCGAATTTGTGATCCAGTGTTTGGTCAGTAGGAGGTTGTGGTCTCCAGGTCTGATTAGATGCCAGGTCCCTCCTGAGGCCAGAACCCTGTCCAGAGACCATAATACCTTTAAGCCACATCTGGTCGCATAGTATGAGGAGCCAGGACTTTGGTTTCTGCTCTGATTCTTTGGTCAAATCCTGTCTTTCTAGATTTTCTAGATCCTAATTTCTTCTCCCCATTTTCTACCAAACAGTAGCCCTATCTTCTCATCATGCAGAACCAAGAGCACATCCTGGGTGACCTGCTCCAGGTCAAGGTGGATGTGTGTAAATGAGCACAAACTGTCTTTCTCAGTGTCCGTGGGAAGTGGCACCTCTTCACAGGAGCATCCAGTTCTGAAACTCTTCCCTGGAAGTAGGGTCTTGAACAAGCGCTGCGTTATACCATCGTCCAGCTGTTTTCACTCACCTGCGCTCGTTTTTCTCCCTCTTCTGATGATTTTTTGACCAAGTAGCTCTGGCTCCCACCTCGTCTTTGTTCCATCATTGAGAGATGTGCACCACGAGCCCGTGTACCCACAGCCGCCTTTCAGCTACTCCGATCTGCCTCACGAAGACAAAAAGGTACCAGCGTCCCCTCCTCAACCAGCAGGCAGCCGGAATCGAATGTGCAAGTGACCCAGCTCTGTCCCTGAAGTGGAGGGTGAAGGTGACTTTTCAAGGCCTGCACAGGGCCTGAATCTTAAGCTACATTTTTGATATTGTTGATCCTCACCTGAGGATATTTTTCCATTTATTTCTAGATAGAGTGGAAGGGAAAGAAGGAGAGAGAGAGAGAAACATCAATGTGAGAGAGACATCAGCTAGTTGCCTCCCGCATGACCCCCACCAGTTCAGGTATCAAACCTGAAACCAAGGTACTTGCCCTTGACCAGGAATTGAACCTGGGACCCTTTGGTTCACAGGCCAATACTTCAACTGCTGAGCCAAACCGGCCAGGGCTTAAGCTACTATTTTTAACAGGCAGATGTGCCTGTATTTTACTGTACGTTGGTTTGGTCTCACTTTCAGTGGGCTCCCCAGCCCTTGGAGACGCCCAGCTTTCATGAGGAAGAAGTTTCTAACTTGGTTGTAAATGTGTGTCTCAACCCCTTCTCATTTTAGCGCGTGCAGCTCGTGTCTGAGCCCTGCAGTCTCTCTTTAAATGGCGTGGTCTTTGGCTTGACTTCCACGGACCTACTGTTCCATATTGGGGCCGAGGAGATCAGCAGGTGAGGCGCGTAGCCCAGCCCTGAAGGCAGGACGGAATGGCTGGCCTTCTGCCACACCCTTTGGCCAAGTGAGGGGCGCAGTTAGAGCCTTTGTCTCTACAGTATTTGACCCCAAAGAACCATGTCTGCCTGTCTGCATTTAGTTTATAGTCATAAAAGTTCATCTGCTGCCCAGCCAGTGTGGCTCAGTGGTTGAGCGTCAACCCATGCACCAAGAGGTCACCAGTTCGATTCCCGGTCGGGGCACATGCCCAGGTTGTGGGCCCCATCCCCGGGGTGGGGGGCGGGGGAGGGCATGCAGGAGGCAGCCAATTGATCATCTTTGTCATCGATGTTCCTATCTCTCTCTCCCTCTCCCTTCCTCTCTCAAATCAATAAAGAAAAAAGTTTGTTTGTTTTTTAAGTTCATCTGCTTTGCCCTGGTCTGTGTGGCTCAGCAGTTCATGCCCGGCCCTGGCCGGGGTTGTGTGGGAGGCAACCAGTCGATGTGTCTCTCTCACATAGGTGTCTCTACCCCCCCACACTCTATCCGAAGATGAATAGAAGAATATCCTCAGATGAGGATTTTAAAAAAAAAGTTTATCTGCTTGTCTTCCCTCCCTTAACAAGGGTGGGTGTCCTTGCTGGTGAAGGATGACCTGTGAACTTTGACGGCGGTTCTCCCCACCAGAGCAGTGTGTAGCTCTGCAGAGAATCAGGTGTAGACAAGTCTGCGGTGTAGGTTCGGCTGTCATGTGAACATGGGTGTGTGCTTGTTGGCTGAGGTTTGAGGTGCAAGGGTCACCCCGCTGCACACTCCCTCAATGGTGCAGACTCCAAGAGGGACCCTCTTGTCACTGTGCCTTGGCTATGTAGCCTCTCTCTGGTTTATCAAATCCTTGAGTCCTCCCCGATGAGAAACAGACTGAAAAACAAGGCTTTGCATTTGGTCTCTTGCTTTCTGCTCTCCCCAGTTCGTCTGGCTCGTCGGACAGATTCAGCCGAATACTCAAGCACATCCTGACGCAGCGGAGGTGAGCTCGCCTCCTGGAATGCTGCCTGGCCGTGGGGAGAGTGCTTTGGGCTCCCGGAGCTCTGGCAGATTTGATCGTGAGCGTTTCACCAGGCCACCACCAGGGAACCCCACCCTGTGATGAGGAGCCTGTGTTCTGTCCCCCAAACACCGAGGAAAAGAGAAGAGTCTATGACAGCATGGGAGCCAGGGGACCTGAATCAGCTGCTGCTGACTGTTTCTCTCCATCTCTGTAGCTTCTACCCGCTGTACCCTCCCCAGGAAGACATGGCCATTGACTATGAGAATTTCTATGCCCATGCACAGCTGCCTGTCACCCCTGATGTCCTCATAATCCCATCAGAGCTCAGATACTTTGTCAAGGTAAGTCTGAACTCTGCTTTTTCTCACAGGCCAGAGAGTCTTAGACTTTCCCTCGTAGACCACCGGCCCCTACTCTTCAAGGGTCGGCTGACGGGGACGGTGGCCTCGTCTCTTTGGATGGTAGGAGTAGAAAACAAATCTATTAGTAAAACGCTTAAGTAAATGATGTCTCTTGCCCCCCTCTCCTCCCAGAGCCTGGTGCTCAGGCAGGGCCCTGCCCCTGAATTCTGATCTGGCCTCACCCTGAGAACTTGGAGGATGCGATAGGGTCTCATCTCTGCCTCTGAGTCCCTGCCCACCTGGGGATTGGGTCCCTCTACCCAGCCAATCCCCCTCTTGCCAGCCAGAGCCAGTTCAGCCTCAAGAGGTAAACTTGGTCACCTTGGAAAACAATAACCAGGTCAGGTGTGTCTCCAAGATTGGGAGCTGATTGTCACCCTGCCCAGTCACCTTCATTCTGTTTATGGGACTCCAAAGGAACTCAGTTTTCCAATAATATGTTCACATATTTGACTGAAGAGGTGTTTGGTTGCCTTCCTCCCATTTTATAAAACCCTTTTTGGCGTCTGCTAGATTCCAACTTTGTCACATCAGTCCAGCTGGTTTGGGCCTGTCCGGACCCAGTCTTCTCCCTTCCTTTCCCAGGACATCCTCGGCTGTGTCTGTGTGAACCCCGGGCGCCTCACCAAAGGGCAGGTGGGGGGCACCTATGGCCGACTCTACATCAGGAGGCAGACCACAGGCGGGGAGGAGAGGCAGAGTCCATGTGTCGCCGCCCAGGTGGTCAGGATCTGAGGCCTTGGGTACTTGTCCCCCACTGTGCAGGCCCTTGTAGCCTTAGTCGCCAAGAGCCCAGGAGTAGCCCTCTGACAAGATCCCACCTGTTGGAAGGTGAAGGAAGGAGGCAGCGAGCTGGGGGCGGCTGCAGGGAGGGGCCCAGCAGGGAGGTGTGTGCAGCTGTCCCCGGCTTGGCTCGGAGGGAGCTTCTCTGGGAGAACGTTTTTGTTTCTGACACGCGAAGTCCAGAGTGAACTGGCTGTGGATGCAGCATGCTCAGAAGCAAGGCGGCTTTGTGATTTTCTACGTGAATCAGACACAGAAACAACTTTTGGAGAAATAAAATTTTGGAGAAGTAAATCCTGAGTGTAACTTCTGAGTCTAATCTTTCTTCCACATAAAGAATGTTGCCTCCTTGACCTATGTCCAGAGAAGGCAGAGCGCCTGTCACGCTGGCTTCCCGGCCGCAGCCCGGATCCTCCGGAGCTGGGCCCAGGCCACGGAGCTGGGCTGCAGAGCGAGCAGCTGGCTGCATGCCTGGCCCTCCCGGCGCAGCCCTCGCATGCATGCTGTGGGCCCAGCCTGACCTCTCCATCTGGAGGGGCGGCCTCGCAGAGCTGTGCCGATGCTGGATCCCCGGCGCCGGCCCTGCCAAGCCGCACAGCAGCCCGAACACTTGGGCAGGGCCAGGCCTCCGGGGTCCCTGACACGTCCTCGTGCCCGTGGTCTTGGCATCGGGAAAGGTTGCCTCTGGCTAAAGGTGGAGTGGGTTTCTGCCCTAAACTGGCAGGCTACCCTGCCTCACGTGCCAAAGCCAAGACAGGAAACCCCCAGCTGCTGGGCTGAGAGCAGTAGGTGCTGATGCCTGTGCCTGAGTCAGAGATAAATAAGTAACCCAGCAGTGCCCAGCCTTTGCCTCCCACTGACAGCACCGGCAGGACTTGGTGAAACCGGTCTGCTTTTCAAAACAAGAAGCTGCTGCTGTGCTCCATTCACTTTCCAAGCACCTCCCCCGAAGACAAGCCCCAGCTGATTTCCCCCTCCCAGAATCCCCCGCACTGAAGCACCCGGCTGTGGTCCAAAGGGCAACGTGACTTATCAGCCTCCAGATGTGTTTTGGAGCCCGGGCCCCTCTTCCACAACCTGATACAGTTGCCCCAGTTCAAGAATGTCATATTTCCACCAAGCCCAATGTCGGCTCAAAACCTACCCCTCCTTGGGAAACCCCTGCCTGGGAAGATTAACCAACAGGCCCTCAGCCACGATAAACAAGCCCTATCACGTGAACCCATGTGTGGCTCGGAGAGCCGCAGCTCTTGGCAATTATTTTCATGTTGCTTCTGAAGAAGTCTTGGGAGTGGTAACATCCTGGTCCCCACTTGGCAAGGTCCAGAGAGGCCCCTCTCCTTGACAGACGGGAGGACCCAGAGGCCTGGTGGGATGGGGGGAGGCAGCGGAGGGGAAGGAAAGAGCTGCATCCTCAGGGGAGGCCTGTGCAGGGCCAGCGGGCAGTGGTGTGCAGCCTCCCGGGGAAGAAAACTGGAGCCCGCCTGGAATGAATGGGATCAAGATCCGTTGCCTGGATACGAGTCGTGTGACTTGGAAATGATCCGGGAAGGTCAGAATAGGCATTTAAAACTCAAACAGGAAGCAGGGTGTGAAGTCAGAACAGACGGGTCCAGTGGTGGTGCACCTCTCTGCCACCAGCCGGTCCCCTTGTCAGGAAGTTGGTGCCCAGCGGCTGCTAGCTGACTGCTGCTAGCTGACTGCTCCTAGGCCCCTCTTCAGCTGTGTCACTGGCTTCCTGTCGTGGCATCCCTCTTGCTCATGGGGGCTCTTGCTCCCACCTGTGCTGGGGCACAGGACTTCTGACTGATGTTGGGAGGTTGAAGGGAGGGAGTGAGCGAGGAGCCTTGGCTGGGCTTAGACTCCTGGGACCTGCCTGCCTTAGGTTCTCGTAGAATCTCCCTGGTCCTGGTTGTGCCTTGTGTCCTTGAGACAGGATCCCGAAGGTGAAGCTCTTACCAAGTTTCACCTTCCATCCCTCTAAGCTCCAGCCCTGCCCTTTGCTCTTCCTCATTCTGGTGGAGGAGGCTGAGGCTGCCCTCCTTCACCCTGCAAGGCTGCCTTTTAAGATTCAGCCTCTGCGTCAGCCCGCGGACCAATGAGTCCTGGGTTCAATTTTGGTCAAGGGCACGTACCTTGGTTGCAGTTCATCCCCAGTCCTGGTTGGAGAGGCCCGTCTCATGTCGATGTTTCTATCTCTTTCTCCCTCTCCCTTCCTCTATCTCTAAAATCAATAAAGAAAAAGAAAAACGTAGATGCAGGCTCTGTGTCTAGAAAGGGCAGGGGAGAGTTGCCGAGGGAAACAACAGCTGCATAGAAACCTGTGTAGATGCCAAGAACAAAGCTGGGGAATGGTGTGGGGGGGTCACCAGGGCTGAGGGCAGGGGCAGGGCCGTGACTGCTCCCCCGGCCCTCCCTTCTGCTCTGCCTTCAGCAGCCTCTTCGGGCTTGGAGTTTCCTTTCCCTGACCTCAGTCACCCAGCCCAGCCCAGCCCTGTCACTTCCCCTCGTGCTGGGAGTAGCCCTTTGGGCTGGTTTTCCACTTCTCCACTCAGTGCACAGTTCCTCTCCCCTGCCAGGGGCTCCCGGCTGACCACCTGCCAGCCAGTTCCGGATGGACACGCGAGGGCTCTCCCTCCAGTCAGCTCTGACTAGACATGAAAGCCCTTGACAGACTAGAGTGCCTAGATTTTTTTAACATTTAAAAAATTATTATTGAGATATAAAAAGAACATAAACGTCACCATTTTAATGTGCACAGTTCAGAGGTTTTGGTATATTCACAATATAGTGCAAACATCACAACTAGATATTTAGTTCCAGAATATTTGTATCACCCCTGAAAGAAACCCCATGGCCATCAGTGGTCACTCACCGCCACCCACACCCCCCCATTTCTTGGCAACCACGAATCCACTTTCTGTCTCTATGGATTTGCCTATTCTGGGCATATATACAAGGAATCACACTATACGTAGTCTTCTGTCCCTAAGTGGCCAGACCTATCTCTGCTCCCTCTGGGACTGTCCTGGAAATAACAAGGCCCCAGGGGCCTAGGGGCTAGTCTGCCCTTGGACCCAACTGGGCCTATAGCCAGCTCCAGATTCTCCTACCCAGACGCACCCTTCTCCTTGGGCTCCAAGCTCCTTCCTGCCCAAGCCTGCCTGACAGCTGAGAACCCTGCAGCTGCCCGGCCCAGGGGCCTCTCAGAGGTCTCAGGGACAGCTGCTGCCCTGTGACCCTGCTGACCTCTGAGCCTTGCACACAGCTCCCTGAGAGGCCAGGCGTCGGCCCACCGGCCTGCAGGGCCCAGTTGAGCCTGTCTTCTCTGCCTGCTCCCATTGCTCCCAGGTCTTCCAGGACCCAGTCAGTAGTAGGCCCCACCCTAGAGGAGTGGGAGAGGGGAGAAGCAGGGTGGCCAAGGTGGCCGTGCCCCACAGTCCTGTAGAGGTAGTGGCAGTCCCACGACAAAGCAGGCAGCAGCAGGAGCACTGGGCCAGGGACGAGAAGGCAGGGATGTTCCTGATCCCAGCAGCCTTCTCCAGAGGCCCCTCTCCCTGTGAAGATGCAAGTCCCCTCCAAATGTTCTGCCCCTCGCCCTGGCCGGTGTGGCTCAGCAGTTAGAGTGTTGACCTGCAGTCTGGAGAGACCCAGGTTCGGTTCCCACTAAGGGCATGTACCTTGGTTACAGTTTGTCCCCGGCCCTGGTTGGGTCGCGTGGGTGGCGACCACTTGTCCCTTTCACGTCAACGTTTCTCTCTCTCTCCCTCCTACTCTATCTGAACAAAATATCGAAAAATGTCCTCAGGTGAGGATAAAAACAAACAAATGTTCTGCCCCTTAGCATACTTCTAGTAACAACCCTTACCTCTGGGGATGTGTGTAAAAGAGCTTGGGGCCAGGAGCTTGGAGAATTCTTGGCCCTGGCCGGTTTGGTTCAGCGGTTAGAGCGTCGGCCTGCGGTCCGGAGGAGAATTCTTTGTCATGTCCACTGTCATGTCCTGTTTGAAACTTTTTTCTTTTTTATCCTCACCTGAGGATATTTTTCCATTTATTTTCAGATAGAATGGGAGGGAGGGGACAGAGAGAGAGAGAAACATGGATGTAAGAGAGACACGTCAACTGACTGCCTCCCGCACAACCTGACCAGGGTGGGGAACTAACTGCAACCAAGGTCCGTGTCCTTGACTGGAATCAAACCCGCAACTCATTGGTCCGCGGGCTGACATTCCAACCACTGAGCTAACCCGGCCAGTGCCTGTTTGAAATTTTTGCTATGAACACAGATGACTTGAAAAGAAAGAAAAGTATATATGTATATAAACAACTCCCCCACCCGGGGCTCCTCAGCTCTCCACATCCTGTCACATTTGTAATCGCTCCCTGGGAGTCCCTCTCACAAGAGCTGCTGTTTGTGCCCCACGACGAGGTCACCAGGCTCTTCTGCTTCCTGAACGCTTGTCTCCCAGAAACGCCTTCCTGCGGTCCCCAGCATCCTGCCATTCATGCACTCATTCCCCCGTTCACGCATCGGGTACCTGCTGCATGGCACGCGCTCTGGGGAAACAATGCTGGTTAAGGTCCCGTGGTGGGTGGACATGTATCAAATGACAATGACATAGAGAAGACAGTGGTCCAGAGTGTCGGCAGGGAGACTTGACACCGACTGGGGGTCTGGAATGCTTCCTTGAGTGGGAGACAGCCCAGCTGAGAGCTACAAGATGGGCAGGTGGCCAGATGAGGTGAAGGGAAGAGCAGTACAAGGGGGCTGCCCTGGGGGCTGGGCGTGGCTGGCGGCCAGAAGGCCACTGTCTGAGCAGAGGGAGTGGAGAGGTGGCTTGAGGCCGGAGAGGGCAGCAGGAGCCCTGCCCAGGGTTTGCGGCATTGAAGCATGTAAGCAGGGGCCTGTGGCCATCAGTGGGTGTTTCCCATCGATCACGTGTGCTGTGGGGAACAGGCAGGTGGCA